CTTTTTATTTTCGTATAAATAAAGAGGTATTATTCTTTTGGAAGACCTGATACCATAATAAACATGTGATATTACGGTACCATCAATAAATTATGACTTGAATTGGTAAAATTAAGTTAGCTCAAAAATGGCTTTTTTAGATTGCAACATCAGTGTTTTATGCTGGAAAATAGTCAACTTGAAACAAATTGGGAGTCACAGTTTGATTATCGCTCAAAAGAGAAGAAAAGAGCTCTTACTACCGGCAATAGAAATAAATGGCCAATAAGCGTCTATGCGTAAAGTGCAACAAAAGCATTTTGAATTGAATATTTCTGCCTTCAGCGCTGCGGAGAAGCCGTTTTAAATTATTTGATGTTTTGAATATTATTATATTATTGGCGGAGCTTGTAAGACCCTGCATATTATTTTTGATTGGTAAAAAAAACTTTAAAAAACTTTCTAAGTACAATGTACCTAATACATTGCAATTGTTTAACGAGTGGCTTCACCATAAATGCGTTCCCGCTGTTTGATAATGCACATTGGACGTTCACACACTAAACAGTAAACATCCTGTATCTCAAAAACTAGGTAATCATGTGATTGAATTGGGCCTCAGGTAAGTATTGATCAGAAACATCGGATTTATGGAATACTTTGATTCGAATGCAATCAAAAACCCCATAGGAGGTGTTTCCTTAACTACAACTGAAAATTAGAAAAAACATTTCTCTCCTCACTTACGTAATGTTGAATTAGTGACGTATACAGGCATTTAAAGTTATCAGTAATTCGCGTTTTCTCTACGCTTCGAAAGGAACACCGTGTTGTTATTCATAGCTGCCAATTTTCTTCAATAGGTATATCTTTAAAAAGCCTACGATATTTTGGCCGCGCTGCTGTCTGAATGTCGTCATAGAATCCCATATAACGGCTGGACAAGACCGAAATATGTCCAATGCTGTTTGGTAGGTCGTTCGTGTCCTACAATTTTGAACTACTTTGCACTCGTCCGTTATCAGGACAAAACAGGAAGTCCAAACGTTTCACCTGGTCGACGTTTCGACCAGGGACGTCTTAAGACTTCTTGAGACCCTGGGCCTATATGTCAAAGGAGGCCCCCTTACCTACAGGGGGGGGGGGGGGGGGTGCTCTAGGGCATACGACATGAATAAGTTAGAAAAACTTTTGAAATGTGAAAATGTAATGTATATATTGTGGAAAGAAAATAACAAATTACAAAGGTCGTTTTCTAGAGTTTACAGAGGCAAAATCGTGAATTATGTCTTCAAAATCAACGGTTTGTAAAATTTTGCTTTCAATACTCAACAAATCATGGATAAAAAAAATTCTCATACCAATTTCATGTTTCCTCCCCATTTCTACTTCCTGTTTTTTTAGTTTTTCAATATCTATGCTGATATAGGATTTGAAATGGTCACATTCCAAAATTAATTCATCGGTTTCTTTGTCATAAAATTGTGACAGTTTTACCGCTTCTCTTGAAATTTCAATTTCACATGGTCAGACATTTTTTCAAAAAAACCGATTCTTTCAAATATTTTGTTACCCGTTACCTTCAAGGAAAGTTACTTTGTCTTTTCACTCGTGTCCTAATATCGCGGTACTCCTTTAAAACAGATTTTTCTCTGGATTTCGATTCATAAAAATCAAAATCGTCTCTTTTTCTCTTATATGTGCCATTAATGATTTAATAGTTATTTACCTAACGAATGCGGAAAGTGATACTTTACCGCACGCAACGGCAGTTGATCGGTCAAGCCTTTAAGGGCGGTAAAGGCACTTTCCGCATGTGTTTAGGTACAAAATTTCACCTATGAACATCTACATCTCCAAAACAAGGCATTAATAAAATTAATCAATAAATCATATCAATTAATGAAATTAGATTAGATTTAGAAAGGATCAAAAATCCATTTTCTGAAAAAGAAAGGATTTTCAATCATAAATACCAAAGTCTACTTTACCGCATACTATGCGATAAAGTTAACTTTACCTCACACGGTAAAGTTACTTTACCGCATAGTGTGCGGTGAAGTTAACTTTACAGCATAGTGTGCGGTAATAGTTATTTACATTACAAGTGCGTTTATGAACATGATTACAATAACGAGTGTGAAAGATTAGAGCGACGAGGTCGTAGACCGAGTCGTTCTAATCACACGAGTTTTGTATTCATGCTTAAACGCACGTGTGATGTACAACATTTTATCTACAAAGCGAAAAATAAGAATGTTTTTTTTCAATAATTTTCGTTTATAAGTCGTTGTCTACCTTCATTTTACCTTTACAGGTTTACCTTTGACATTTGTCAAATCACCAAAAATAGTTGTGTTATAGATTCATAACCTAGTCCATAAGACCACTAGTTGTGTTATGAATTTATAACCTAGTCCATAACACCACTAGTTGTGTTATGAGTCTCATGACATAACTCAGATACTAGAAAAACGTTTATGTAAAAACGTCATAACCAAACGCTTGTAGATAAAGTTAACTTTACAGCATAGTGTGCGGTAAAGTGGACTACAAAGTGTGCGGTAAAGTGCACTTTACCGCATAGTGTGCGGTAAAGTAGAATTTGATATTTATAATAAAAAATCCTTTCTTTTTCAGAAAATGGATTTTTGAAAATTTCTAAATCTAATCTAATTTCATTAATAAATCTGATTCATTAATTAATTTTATCAATGCCTTTTTTTGGAGATGTGTAGATGCTCATAGGTAAAATGTTGTACCTAACACATGCGGAAAGTGCCTTTACCGCCGTTAACGGCTTGACCGAACTCCGCTTCGCGTCGTTGCGTGCGGTAAAGTATCACTTTCCGCATTTGTTAGATAAATAACTATTACAGTTGTAGACAAATTTCAGTTTTCCTTTTGGACTAACAAATTTCAGTTTTCCTATTGGACGAACAAATTTACTCTGTTAGTCCGAGTCAAAATATCATTCCAAAAAATAATTAAGAAAGTAGTTTCTAAGTCATCCATCTTGCTGTTTAATGTTTTTGCAGTAAGACGTGTATCTGCTGATTGCAATTTGTCATTCTTAGGGCCGATACTTTTGCTATCGATTAACGAATTTGATACGTTGTGTTGTCAAAGTTTTGCATGGGCCAAGGTCTATAAGTATGATGTGGTTAGAGTACATTCAAAGCCCTGATTATTTTTAACGGCTGTCAAATAAGAGCAAAAGTACCGGCACTTAAGGTATCAAGGCTCATTTGGATTTCTGTATCCACAATTTAAAGCTGTAACTGCGTCTTCACGTGAAGACCAACGTGTTTTTGATAAGCTTTTCAGTACTTTATGATCGGAACTTAAATTTGAATTCATTTCCCAACGGTGCATTGACGAGGAAAAGAAATCGTATATAGAGGTTTTGAACAAAGTCAAAGTAAATTGTGACATTTAAGTTGCATTCTATCGCTACCCGCCTATATTTTTTTTCCATTTTTTTTCCATAAATTTTATTTTAAATTGGGCGTGGACTTAGCGATGAGGCCCCTTTGGCGCCGAGGCCCTGGGCCCGGGCCCAGCGGGCCCTGGTTTCGACGAGTGCAATGCTGATTTGAGGACATATACAAAGATTAACCAAACATTAATGGCTTTTTGCAACGACCATTTTAAGACAGGTTTAAGGATTATCAACGCTTAAAGTGACACGTGTCACTTCAAGCGTTGATTATCCTTAAAAATCCCTTAAAATGGTCGGTGCAAATGGCCATAAGAATGTTGTCAGTTCCAGTTAAATTAAGAAAGAAAACAAATCAATAAGGCAATAGGAACCCAAAAAATTCGTATTGATTGTACTAACATGGACTGAGTAGGTGCCAAATTTTGTGTTCAAATTTTAATAATTTACAATATTAGAGACACTTATTAGTCTCACTATCACAGTTGCTATAATTCCAACTCGAGGATTCCAAATTGACACTTATTGATAAGTATTATATTTGTTGTGATAAAAAACCTTTTTACAAACCATTGTTTAGTTTTTGGTTTTTAAATTCTTTCGATTCAAAAGTTACTAAAATAAAACCTATGACATTCAAATTTTGTCATATTATTTTATTGCTTACATATTTTTTGAGAATCAATAATTATTTTATCTTGTAGGTATCAATTTCATAAAGAAATTTCAATAGGTATGTAAGTAGGTAGGTAACTACCTAGGAAAAATAAAAATAGGATATGAACGACTTGAGCGAAAAAGTATAACAATCGCTTTTTTTTATAATTATTATATACATATATATAATTATATTTATAATACTTTTTTTTATAACAGAAACCGAGCCGGAAATAAAAAAAAGTTTATGATTTTCGTGTTCATGTATCATGTAACCACTTTTTTGGCGTGGGCGACTTGTATTTATATACATAAATTCTATAAGTGTGTTTTTTTTGCTTTTGAAAATATTTCCTCAGAAACGAGCAACTTGAGAGGCATGTAAAAAATATTAGTTTTATCATACAGTTGAGTAACCCAAACTAACCCAAACTTTCATTACTATATTATATTTTATTATTCATCTTTTCATCGTCGCAATAATTACTTACCTGTGGTCTATAATTAATAGTTATTAATTTATGTGAAATTAAATCTTTACGTATTTATCTATTTGATTTATATCACAAAAATTAGTTTTCCTTTCAATGGAAAAGTATTTGTTGTTAAGTTAACCTTTGTATTTTAATATTTTATTATCATTAAAATCTAGAAAGTGTAACACAGTTTTATTTTACCTATGAAAGGGGGTATTGAATATGACCCCTTTTATTCAGAATATTTTTAAAGGCCTAAGAAGAAGGAACGCAAACACTGGCCGGTGAAAGTATCGTGTTATGCCTTCTAGTTAGGTTTTGCAACAAAAGGTCAGTAGATTTGGGTTAGTACTTTTGTTATGTAGGAATAAACATGGCAACAGCGAATAAAAGAAAAGCGTATCTGGTTATCGGTTTCTGCCCCTCGAGTCACTTCAATGGTACTGTACCTTTTATATGGTTTCTCGTGAGAGAGCCCGGGAAAATGAGAACACGAGCTAGCGCAATCCTGGCACCGGGCTAGACAGCCCTCCTGCCATGGGGAGGACATGCCGCAAAGTGACCCCCTCGAGGGTCAACGGTCATCGTACCGAGCACCACCTGTAATATTGATAAACCGAAGCGATGTACCGAAACTATAAATGTTTTATGAAATTGGTTGACTGCACGGCGCGACGCGGCGTCGTCAGGCACCTTTTGCTTGGTCGATCGCTACTTGCTACTTTGGTTGGTGCCGCTGTCCGACCGATCTAAACTTGAATCTTGGCATGGTCAGTCGGAGAGGGGCTATACGGATTATGCTGCACCGCAACTTACAGGGCGTCCCACTCTTTTCATCTTGGGTCCATTGGTACGTGTTGCGCCTTTCCGCCTCTATAGGAATGGTATCAACTCAGAGAAATAGTACCAGTACTACCAATAAACAGTGCATTGGTTGTTTCAATATAAATGATGAATTTCCTAGTGGATGCAAATGTCACTCAGGGTAAAAGAAGTGTTGACACAGTTTGATTTGAATAAAATTTTTGACATCGGTTTTGGGAAAGAGGAGGACACATATTTTTTGGCATTGGTATCCGTTGGATAAAAGTTGAATATTATACCGAAATTGATAGAACTGCTTAGCTTGCTTGCATACCTAGATTTCAGGTGATCCCTTCTTATATAATATATGCTTACCTTTTCGATATGTTTTGTATTTAATTTATTGCAAAAAAAAAACAGTAGGTAGTAATAATGTACAAATACTTGACAGAACTGTTTTTATTTCGTCTAGACATTTATTTTTGGCCTTTGTCTCCACTTCCCTGGAAGTTTTTCATTTTTTTTTTTACATAATCGAACTTTTATCTTGTGCTATCCCTTTTGGTTTTTCTAAACAGATGCTGGCACCTGGCGCGGTGATTGGACGATGTATTTCGTTTAAAATTAAAATTATGCAAAAGTTAACATCTATGATGTTTGTCGCCAGATTGTCGAGAAATGGTCCGGAAACCGCAGCTCATATGAAAGTACCGTTGACACGCACAACTTTAAAGTTACCTAGGTCATAAGAAATAATCTTGTTGACAACATATTCCTGGATACAAGTTGGTGATGCATGTAAAATATTCGTGGTGTCGGCGATGTACCTAATCTTATCTGTACATTCTACATGCCTGGCCTACAATATCTGGCGAAACAACCCAAATTCAGATCATAAGAAACAAACCTATCTTCAAGCCAACGCTAAAGAACAGAGAATATCATGAATGCTGAAAAACGAGTGGTGGACGACAACAAAGTCAAAGGAATTGGAATATTTTGCAGGCTCTAAGAACAAAAGAGCATTCTAGGCCATAAAAGTTACGGCGCTGGTGCAAAAGAGCGCAGGTCAGACGAGCGCAGGTCAAAAAAGCGCAGGTCAAAATAGCGCACGGACAAAGGAACGCACAGACAAAAGTTCGCAGGGTCAAAAGAGCGCAGGTTCAAAAAAGAGCACGGACAAAAGAGCGCAGGGTCAGTAGAGCGCAATGTTGTTCGACATTTCTGAAACTATAATCGCCTAGCAAAAATAGCTCATTTTTTGTTCTTTTAAAATTAGATTATAAATTAGCGCTCATTAGCATAAAAAAATGCAGACTTACCCAAACTTTCCGTTAATAACCCGTCTGCCTAAGCCTAATGCAATCTAACTCTTATAAGTTACCATTTCATTTGACTAAAAAGAGAGACTTTATTTATAGTGTATATTGCCTCTTGAGCGCGTTTTGTTTTTCAAATAAAATGCTTACGAGGACTAAATTGCACTAGGCGGACGGGTTATTATCGGTAAGTTTGGGTAAGTCTGCAATTCCTCAATTAATTTTGATTCAATTTCCGGGTCCGAGGATTTTCTCCTCGAGTTTTGGTTATTTTCATTTCCATTCAAAATTGTTGTTATGTAGACAGTCATTTAAAAAAATAGTTTTATTTCATGTGTTCTTGTATTTAATAAGATATGCGCTCTTTTGTCCGTGCGCCCTTTTGTCTGTGCGGTCTTTTGATCCTGCGCTCTTTTGTTCGTGCGCTCCTTTTCTCGTGCGGTCTTTTGCCCTGCGCTCTCTTGTTCGCGCTATTTTGACTTACGCTCTTTTGACCTGCGCACTTTTTTACCAGCGCCAAAAGCTACCTATACTCCCCCTCCCCCCGCCACTACAAACCTCCTTATATTTAGATGTAGGAATCAGCTACTCAGAGATCTTCCTTCAAATAATTCCCGATGGAAGGAGCATTTCCAGGAACTCCCGAACAGATATTCCCACGTCGATGTCTTGAATACAGTGCCTCAAAAATACACTGAAACATCTCTATCAAGACGTTGAAAAAGCCATCAGCCAACTGAAGAACAAAAAAAACAGCTGCTGCGTTAGATGTAGTCCCTGTTGAGCTTTTCATGGTAGGGAGCCGTGCGTCGACCACAAACATAGATAAATGTCCAAAATATGCAACGCTGAGACGATTTCCACAGATCTGCCAGTCACCTTTATTGTCACTATATTCGCGAAAGGCGACAGGCACAGTGTGGAAATTATTGAGTAATATCACTGCTTTCTAGAGACACAAAAATTCTTTTTATAATTATGTCCAACCGACTTTCTTTTCTTCGCCGAAGCATCACCTCGCGTGGCTTTTAGACAACTGATGGACAGTAAACCAATCGGAAGTCAGTGGCTGGCCAGGGAATAGTGCAAAATTAATCCCGGCTTCTCCCCATTCGCGCCTGTTGGAGGCCGGATGGTAGGATCGGATAAGCCGTGGGGGAATTAGGGAACCTAACAAGGAACAAACTTCCCAGTCGGTGACTGGCACCAAGAGGCCTAACAGTTCCTATGTAACCGATTACACTTACACTACTTCAGGAGTGCCCTGGGGGTGGAAGCTCCATGCTAAACTTCAGTGCCCGTTCTAATTAGACCTCGTATGCGGTCAGAACAGAGAGCTTGGAAAGTATAACGACGGCTACCTTGGAGGATGCACAAGGAGCCCAATAGGGTTGAGGCGTAGAGACCCGTCTGTGTCGCCACTGTCGCCCGCCACCACTAGTGGAGAGCCTACACACAAAAAAAAACGCCAAATTGGGTTACAAGCATGATATTTGGCATAGTTGTCAGGAAGCTCATTTTAAGAGATCTGGCCCGACTAGCCAGGCTCTACGACCCTCAAGACTCTCAATCTTGCATTTTTTTTTCAAAATGGCGGACGGGAATTTCCTCAATTTCAAAATTAATTCACTTGGGCATGATTATACATTTTATTATATAATTTGAGGTTAAGGAATTCAAAAAAAATATTTTCAAAACGATATGACCTTCAGTAACTTTGAAAATTACAGTTTAATTCGATTTTAAAATAATTTTAATATAACGTGTTTGAAACCGCCAATAGAGGGGGGTTAAAAATCAAAAATGATTGCTTAGCATAACAAAATTAAAATGTCTTATCAAAGACAAAAAGTTTCTTCTATAATAGATCAGCGCTGGCTGAAGCGGTAGTACTAAGGTACATGAAGCCATGGCATTACTTTATTTTTCACAGAAATGTTTCAAAGTATCATATATGAAGGTTATAGAATCTTTTTTTTTTCAGAAAAATAAGGTATTGCCATGGTTCTGTGGCACCATGGCACTACCTCACCAGACGCTGCTTTAACAGATACTGCAAACTATAGGGATCGTTAGTTTTGACATTCGCCATCGCAGTTAGTACAAGGTAGACCTGCTTTCTGATACGAACATCTGTTGGTTTCACTTTGACTTTCACATCCGCACTTCTCTAGTCTTTTAGAACTCAGAAAATTTCTGCTAGCTGGCTCCCAGCGATTGTTGGTTGAATTCCAACCCTATCCTCCAGGAGATGGAATAGGTTCACCGGGTGACAGCGATCGACCCCGACCCCATATTTGACTGGCTCGATACGCAGCTCTTCTGTAGCCTTCCATTAAAATGTCTTGTGACGGTGAACACATGGCTATTGGTCGTTCTCCACTACGAAACTGCACCTTTCTCAATTTATTAACTTTTTCAAGTTTGCTTTTTGCATCATATACTGGAATAGTAAATTTCTCTAAAATTTTGAATAGTTTTTGTGCTATATCTGTGCTACTATCCATTAGAGATGAATGATGGATGGGCAGAGTTGCCTCTGGATAATATTTCCATATGCTTTCCATTCTATGTTTTTTCTTTCGAATGCAAAAAAGGAAGTAGTTTCGCACCCCCTAAAAGCATAAAAGCCAGACAATGCTAAAGATTTTTCAGGTCCCAATAAATGATTTGCAATGTTATGAGCTACAATATATCTTTGTGATTTGTTAACTACATATACAAGCTACCATAATTCCTCGAGGGTCAAGGACTTAACATGTAGAAACATTCTTCCATCTGCTTCCTCCATGTCGGTACAAGATAGTCCATCCGGACTGGTTTTGACACTATGTTAAACATTTGGCCCAAAATGGGGCAAAATCCGTTTCAGTACGATTCTCGGACACAGCTGCAATAATAGGAATATAATTTTTTACAAGTAAGATGAAGACAGAGTCTCCATCTATTTTTCTGATCGGCACACTAAAAATTGCTACTAACAACCGTATAAACCAGGTTGTTAGTAGCAATTTTTAGTGTGCCGATCAGAAAATAGATGGAGACTCTGTCTTCATCTTACTTGTATCAAACCCAGTTCCGGGAAGGAACCAAAAATGGGTTGTGTTTTCTCTCTGCGGGACCTAACCGTGCTGAAGAGCTGTGATACAGCGAAACGCGTCCACAGATGGTCCCGCAGAGATAAAACACTTCTCAATCGGTCCTTAATTGGGCCGTTACCTAATTAAAATATAATTTTTTTATATATTGAACTCCTCAGGACTTGAGGAATTATGGTATCTATATGGGGTTAGCAAATCACAAAGATATATTATAGCTCATAACGCTGCAAATCATTTGGGAAAAATCGTAAGCACTACGTCGCTTTTACGGGGTGCGACATTACTTCCTTTTTTGCATTGAAAGGAAAAAACAGCATGGAAAGCATGGGAAGATTATCTGAGGCAACTCTGGCTTTCCATTGTTTATCTTTAATATATAGTACCACAGATATACATACCACAAATTTGGTGAGCTTTAAGAGGATTAGAGAAGTGTGGCTGTAAAGGTCAATGTGAAAGTAACCTAACAGATGTTCGTATAGGAAAGCTATAGTACGGCCGCATATAACTACT